CCAGGTTCGCCTCCAGGGCCATAGGGACAATGCAGCTCCAGACTCCGTTCCGGAAACACATCCCATTCTTGAGGACGGATCCCAGCTCCACTGGCATGTCGCCACAACTCTGTCGGCCAGCTTCGCTCGTCTCTTCTGGCAATCTTTGGTTTCAGGAATTGTCGTTGGGTCTGCAACTTGCCAAGATTGGTTCAACAACAGACAGCATATGACAAAAGCAAGTGCTCTCGGTCACCCGACAGAACACCAGACAAAGTATAGAACATCATATACCTAGCTACGTGTCTATCGGAATTTAGTTCCCTCTACACCACGAGGCACATGTGGGACACAAGACTCTCAAAATGACAATTTTACACGTACAATAACTTAACGAAATAGAATAGAACATAAAGTTGGCTCGTTGAGATCACTCTGGACGAAAGCGCTCAGCTAAGGCCGTGATGAGGACAAAAATTTGCCCCGATTTGCTGCGAGAAACCGAAAGGTGGAGAAGGTACTAACTTAACTAAACACGCGGCTCAATGCGTCTGCATTAGCGTTTAGCTTTCCTTTTTTGTAGCGAATGTCAAAGTGTTGTTGTTGGAGTATCATGCTCCACTTCAGTAACCGGCCACTTTTAGGCGACGATACCTATGCGGTACCAACAGCTGCTCATACTTGCGACGTTGCACAGGAAACAACGATACGGCTTGCTACGGATGGGCTCCTCACTAGTTAGCTCGATATCGTGCTCGATCACCGTCGTGTTTCCGGGACGGTCCGAAAACACGTCTTGAAACTCGGAAACAATCCTTCTCAGGTCCTCCTTCTGGACTTCACTTATCATAGGCTCTAGGTTCAACTGCTCCAAGATTACCTCCGATCCCCTTTAGATTACATCACTAGAACTCAAAATTTCTGCTCCCTCTTCCTCTGAAGCACTCAACAGCAGAATTACGACCGCTTGACGTTAAACGTAGGGTTTCATCAAATTACCGTGGTAAATTTTCTTCGGCCGCCTTCCTAATTTCACTTAATATGTGGTATCAGAAAGCTTCGATATTACTTTGGCGGGCCCTTCCCAATGAACCTCAAGCTTGTTCCTGTTGGATGGTCGCAGCAGCATTACCTGACTTCCTACTTCAAAATCGCGCTTCTTCGCCGATTTGTAGTAGTACTCCTTCGACAACATTCGGGAAGCTTTCATGTGGCTTTCCACTAGCGCTTTAATCGAGAGGTCCTCACGCTGCACTCGAATGAGTGTCTCTTGATCAACCCTCGACAGCTTATTCCTACTTTCCGCTACAGGCGAGAGCGTTGCGCCCCTCTCGCTCTGACTCAATGGCGCCAGGTCGTCTCCCCCTGCTACGGAAACCGCGCCGGTCGCTTCGGCGACGGGCCGCTTGAGTGCCTGCTCAAACGACGCACACGGAAAATTTCGTGTTTGAAGTTCCGTCGACTCACCGCCAAGGTCCCACAGATCTGCTGCTTTTGAACTTTTTTCATTACATAGAACAAGATTAAGCTCCCGCGAAAGCTTCCGCGCTTGCGATCGCGTGAGGGCCATGTACGCTAAGTTGCAGAAGAACGATTTACCCTGCTCTTTGAGAAGCTGCTCTGAGTTGTTAGAGAAAAGATAAGGAAAACGATCGAGAAGTGCGGCAGACACAGCCGTTTCGGTGCGAAGCTTAACGAACGGGCCTTCAATGACAACCGTGGCGATTGGTAAGCAAGCACTCTGCTCCTTGGCGACTTGCCTGATCCACGCGCATTCTCCTGTAAAGTCATCCGGAGAAGCCAATGAAGGATGGACAACGTCCATGGTTGCCGCTGAGTCACGAAGTGCTCGACACGTTTTCCCATGCACACTAATTTCTTGGAGATACGGCTCTAACAACCGTATGTTCTTTTCCGATTCACGGATCGTTGCAAAAGCAAGCTTTTGCTGGTAGTTTATCACGATGTGCCCTTCATTTTTGCAGTTTTAGCAGATTCGTGGCTTCCGTTGATCAGGTTTCTTTGAAAAGCCCTTTTTCCTTTCATCCCTTTCAACGCGCACTGCCCTGCTATGCAACTTTTGGCGAGTATAATACTCCTCAGCTAACTCTGCTGCCTTGTTTAGCTATACTTCACCAAGTTTGTCCTTGAGCCAAAGCTTGACATCCTCCTCGATGCAGCGGTAGAATTCATCCAATGCAACGCATTCCACCACTTTATCGCGGTCGTCATAAACACCTTCGCCCTTGAGCCATTCAAGTAAATCGGCTTTGGGACGAAACGTGAAGTCAACGTGTCACTCATTCCCCTTTTTAGCATACCGGAACCTTTGCCTGAAAGCCTTGGGTGACAACTTATAACGTCTCAAGAGCACTTCCTTAACCTCGTCATAGCTCTAAACCCTTCCCTCGACAAGCAAGTTATCGCGTCAGACACTTCGCCGGGAAGAAGAGCTAACAGGTTCTGCGCCCAAAAAGACCGCTCTAAATCATTTCGCTCACAGACGTGTTCAAACTATACGAGATACTTCGCCATGTCCTCGCCTACTACGAACGGTGGCAGTTGGTCCCGAATTCTATAACAGCTGACATGAGCTGTCGGAGAAGCTACGCTAGGCGCTTTCGAACACTGTAGGATAGCCAATTCTATTCGTTTCAACTCAAGGGGCTCCTGTCTCTCGACCTGCTAACAGTGTTCTCGCCTTTCAGCTTCTTCACGGCGTGCTTTGATATCCACCCAGGCCTCATCGACTTCCTCAGCCGACACTCCTTCATTCTTCATGATCTCAAGGATCGCTTGCTTTCTTTTCGCACGGCCCAAAGTAATGCCGAGTTCCTCACAAATTTCCATTAGTTCCTTCAATTTAAGGTTCTCCATCGTTCACACTAGCCTCTTGCTGTTTGACCCTCTTAAGAATTTACTTGCCATACCCACTATAAGTGTACTAGCAAGACGCGCAAGCAATTTTTTACACTCCCGTGTTTACCCCCTCCGCATTAACTTTGGTTTCAAAGCAGTTCGACTTTGCTTGAAACGATCAAAGCTCACTCTAATGCTTCACACAGCCCTTCTCTAAACTACTATAACCTGAGCTAGAGTAATCTGGTGAACTGAGGGGAAAACATAAGGCACTCACCGCATCGATGTCGCTGACGCCGGCCGATCCCGCAGCTGCCAACCACTGTTGCGAAGCGCGCCTCCGACGACGTTACGAAGGGCGCCACGAATCTCACCGCTGCAACCACTGTTTCGAAAGAAAGCGACTCCAACACGGTCCCGAAGGCGCCACTGCTTCGAACTCCGCCGGGAAGGTCACCAGCCGTTTGGTAGCGTAGGTTTCTCAGCTCGCGACTGCTTCTGCGCAGAGCTGATAGACGAGCGGACGAGACGACGGTGAGTTAAACAAGGTTTATGTACAGCATATATACAGAGGCGTTACAAATTCGGCACTGGGGCCGACAGCTTAGAGACCCGAAGAGCCGAGCTCTCCTCTCTAACACATAGGTCTGCTGCTAACACATAGCTCAACTGGTCACGACGCGCCGCAGGGCTTCTTTTATATGCACCGGGTGGATTCTTTGAATAACCAAATGTCCAACCAGAAGCACCGCTGGTTGTGAGGTCAGAATCCTCCAATGGGGTCGCCGCTGGGCCACGTCATCGAATCTGAAGCCGCTGCGTTGCACATGGCTGCACCCAAGGACGAGTGACGTCGCCGCGCATTGCGTCAGACTCGCCAGACAGGAAGGCACGACTCGCTGGCTGGGGTGACTCACTGCACGTGCGCGGCAGAAAGACGCCGCCGCGTGATGACGCCGTTGAGTTGTTCATCGCGTCAGGCGGGCTCGCGTGCTGGCCTTGACACAGATTGCCTTTTTCAGAGGCATGAACGTTCGCTGTGGACTCGCAGGCATAACAATAGATACCCGGCGACTGAAGTGTGGTCGTCCAGCGTGAGTGGCAGGCTGTGGTCAGTGTGAGTGTTGTAATATTACATGAACATTGCTTGCATGTTTGTGTACCGGTGATAATATTGTGTGCTTCGAAGTATTTTATTGAAGTTACGCTGGCGCATGGCATGGCTGTGGACAAGATTTTTTTTCACTGTATTTGAAAATTTACTCACACACTGACCTACAAAATTGCCCTGAAAAATGTACACAAAAACTCGCCTAAATCCATCCAAACACCCCGTCATGTTTGCGAGTAATTTTTTTTACTCAGTCGGACGGTTTTCATAAAAATCATAACGGGGCGTGCGTGAGCGAAAACTTCTTTTACTCTCATCTGGGCCCATTTTTGTTTACAGTGCAGAAATGCGGTGAAACAGTGCGCTGGATGTGCAGAGCAGAGACTACTTGAGGGAGAAGGGCTCCGCAGGAAAAAAGTGCGAAGCAGGAAAAATAAAATCTGGATATTTATCGAATATTAATTAGCGCTTCGCTAATTACAATTGTCTTTTTTATTATTCTTGGCCACTTGAAGGAGTGTATGATAAAATACACTAGGTAGATTGTCTACAAGGACTCGGAAAACAGATCATGTAAACATCACCATGTGTTCATGAGTACATAAAAAAATCTACAAATCGCTGCATTCTAAATTGATGAATATAGAGGCAATAAACATTGGATGATCGTGTTTCTTTTTTAAATAATGAACCGAGTTGTTCCGCGTGGTGTCACCATACCCTTTCGGACATCGAACCTCCTGTTCGTCCTACAACTTCTTGCTTTTCGGCATTCTCCGATATGCACTAAGGCGATTCAGATGTTGGTGGCTTTAGAGATATTATTTCTCTATCAGCTGTGTTGAAAACCGTGAGACATTTTTCGGCGTGCCAAAAATTGTCCATAGATTGAGTAGAAATAGTGAATTTGTAGAGTGTTTCAAAATTTATGTTTTGTCTTCTTGCAATCTGTATCATAACTTGTGTGGCTTTTCATTTGAAGCTTTGTTTCATAAATATAATTGGTAATAAAAATGCAAGACATCGTTTAAAGTAAAAATTTTATTCAGCTTCCAAAGCAGATCTTTTGAATACTTCAGATGACCGCCACGCAGCAGTTTTTATTCTGGGCGTCCTCCTGACTCTCTTGTGGCATTTTTTCCGCAGACATAGGCAGCATCAAGACCTCAGAAAAAAATGAATGCAAGATTAGGTTTTCAGAAATCAATAACTTTATCGCAAAGTTTAAGTATCAGTCACATTATCTCTATAGAACCTTTCGGAAGTATCATGCTACTTAAGTACTCTTCGTGCGGTATGAGTATTTTTAACATGCTATCTTGAAGTCAACCAAAATCGTAAGCTGAAAGGCTGATATCGTTTCTTGGGCAAACAGCTGTTCTTACCACTAGGTCACCAAGGTTTTCTTAAACCACGACAAAAGCGCGTTTTTTGGTGGCGTGCTTTGGCAGTTTTGAATATGTACCGTGACGTCACCATTCTCGCATTTTGTGGAGCGTGGATGGGGAAAAGGAGAATCGAGTAAACCATCTACATGAATGTTTGGGCGCTCAATATACGCGTGAGAAATGAAGTTTACCAGAAAATTTCACTTCTTGTGTGGGTGTATCACCCTAATCTGTGCTACATACACATTCAGGCAGAAATTACGGTGAAATATTCTTAACTGTTTGAGATTTACGCATTGTTTCAACCCACACAATCTCATTTTTGAAGCGGCAAAAAGTGACATTATGGCATTGAACCAGTTTCAGTAGCTAATAATAATTGACGTCTAGGTGAAAGTTTTGTGTTGGAGACGACGACGAAGTAATTGCTTAGCAGATCGCAGTTTCAGTAGGTGCTCTCTTTTTTCACCTAATTTTAAGTGAACTTCGCGAATATCACATTCGTGTCCGTCGGTGATGGACGTGGACCCCCACGGACGTCGGCCAGTTACAGCGGCGTCGGCGGTGGCCGCATCCAGGAAGCGTACGGGACTCTACAGTGACTATGACAGCGAGGACACTTTTGTTTACTCAATGAGCAGCGCTTACAGTGTTATAAGTGCATGAAGATGGGCCACGTGAGAAGCGTATGCGAAAATAGAACGGTGTGTCCTCGTTGCGCGGAAGCCCACTCTGCGGATGACTGCAAAGCAACTACCCTCAAATGCTCGAATTGTTATGGGTCACATGCAGCTTCGTCAAAAGAATATCCCAAAATCCAAAGATAAATAGCGGTATTGAAAGAAATGGTCAGAGACAATTCGTCGCATCGAGAGGCTGCCAGGAACGTCCGAAAGAGGCGTCATCGTCGCCGCAGTTCATCAAACAATGCCGCAGACGCTGCATCGAAAGCACCACTCCACCACCCTTCTCTTCCACCGCCCTTGCCTCCCAGACCGAAGGCGGCCAGCGCGGTCAACAAACCAACGAGCAGCACTGTTGCAGATGAATCGGTTTGGCCTTCATTGCCGAAATCACAGCCACCTGCAAATCCCAAGCGCACATCGACAGTCACATCACTCCAGCCAGCCACTGACAAGCTGCCTGAGGAGGACACAGAAGTCATCAGAATGTTCCGAACACTGCTGGATGCCATGCGAAAGCTGTGCAGCAGCCTGAAGTCTCCACTCGCTCAGAGTGCACTACAAGTACTGGATGCTCTAAGTCCAGTATTTGCAAGTCTCCAATAGCAACCATGGCTCGACCAATTTTCTCCTTCCGCAACGAGGTCCGACAAGCGTCGATAATGCAGTGGAACGCGAGAGGCCTGAGATCCCGCATCTCTTCGTTCCGTCAGTATATATTCATGAAGCGTATTCCTATAATATTTATATGTGAACCGAACGTGCAACAACCTCCTGAACTATCAGGGTATGAATCTTTCGTTTCTTTAACGTGCGAGGAACGCAGAAAGGTGGTTGTTTACATTCGCACAGATTTCACATATGTGCATCATGCAGTTCAACCGCATGATGACAATCAATATGTATGCTTAGTGTTAAAAAGGAAACAGTGTCGTTCACACTCATTGGTGTCTACATATCACCATCCGGACGATTTGAACAAGACCGACTACGAGACATACTGACAATAACTACGGGCCCGTGGGTTATAACTGGAGATTTCAACGCACATCACTTAATCTGGGGTAGTTCGACGATCAACGCTAAAGGAAGAAACCTCGTGTCATTCGCTTCCAAGCATGACCTATGTTTCTTAAATGATGGCAGTCCTACATACCTGCGGGGCCTTACGTACAGCAGTTGCCTCGATTTGACTCTGGTATCCAGAAACTTCCGGTCGCAAGTGCACTAGTTTCAGACATCGAAACGCATGGGAGTGACCACATTCCAACTTATATGCGAATAAGGGGTCTTACTAACTCCTTTCCTAAGACCACAATACGAAGAATTGATTGGTCCAAGTATCAGCGACTCATGGAAAATACATGCCGTGAAGACCCTGACCAGAACTTGGAGGATGTCATCAAAGAGGCAATGAGGGAATCTTCCTGTCTCCTCCCGTTCACCGGCAAGCATTCAGATTTCGACGTTGAACTGGAAAAACTGTGCGCGCTTCGCCGAAGGGCGGAAAGAAAATACAGGCGGACGAAAGCAATATGCGACTTGAGGCTGGCACGACGCATACAGAAAAAAGTCCAATGACGTTTAGACAAACTTGCACAGGAACGCTGGAAATCATTCTGCGAATCATTGGATCCCCGAAAGCCGTTGTCACGCATCTGGAGAACTATTCGTGGCCTGCGCTCGACTCCCCAACAAAGACATCCTTTCATGACTTTAGCCCTACATTCAGGCCACACCCAACTTAAAGTGGCAAATGAGTTTTGTACGCGAATCGCTGGTGTGTCCGCCTTGTCCGCTGGCACCATTAGGAGTGTTATTCCTGAACTCCGCATCTACGAAATGGACAATATTTTCACTATAGAAGAACTTGGCGCATCTTTGACGGCTTCCCGACGATCATCTTCACCAGGACCCGATGGCATCACCTACGCCACTCTAGCCAACCTTCACCAGGAGGCGTGAGGTCATCGAACAAAATGAGGTCATTGAACAAAATGTCTTCGTCCGAGCGTGAGGTCATTGAACAAAATGTAGCCAATATGCTGCAACGGAGCATTATACGTCCCTCCGCGAGTCCTTGGCCATCCCCTGTTGTTTTAGTAAGAAAAAAAGATGGCTCCGTGCAATTTTGCGTGGACTACAGAGCACTTACTAAGATTACCCACAAGGATGTTTACCCCATGCCGCGCAGAGACGATGCTTTGGATTCACTGCAAGGTGCTGAGTACTTCTCAAGCCTAGATTTGCGTTTAGGTTAGTGGCAAATACCCATGCACGAGGATGACAAAAAAAAGACAGCGTTTTCAACACCAGATGGGCTGTACAAATTCAACGTCATGCCATTCGGCCTTTGCGATTCTCCAGCAACATTCGAGCGGATGATCCACACAGTTTTACGAGGCTTGAAGTGGAAGAATTTCTTGTGCTATTTAGACGATATCGTTATTTTCTCGTCAACCTTCCCTTACTACTTGCAACGACTGAACGAAGTTTTACGTGCCTTGCAAACGCGGGCCTTCAGCTGAACACCAAGAAGTGTCGTTTTGCGAGCAAGACGATTAAAGTGTTAGGCCCCATTGTAAGCAAGGATGGTATTCGTCCCGATCCTAACAAGATTTCCGCTGTCCAACACTTCCCGCGTCCTGAAAAAGCCAAAGATTTGCACAGTTTTCTCGGCCTCGCTTCTTATTTTTGCCGATTCATTCGAGACTTCGCCTCAATAGCTTCACCATTGCACAAGTTGCTCGGATCAGGCGTCGCCTTTTTGTGGTCTCCTGAATGTAAAGCGGCATTTGCCCAACTGAAGTGTGCACTCACATCCGAACCAGTCCTCTGCCATTTCGACGAAACCACGCCTACGCTCCTGCATACAGACGCTAGTGGTCGAGGCATTGGTGGAATTCTCCCACGGCAAGACAAATTTTCACGTGAGAAAGTCGTCGCATACGCGAGCCGTGCACTGAACCCGCCGAAAAAAATTATACCATCACCGAACAGGAGTGCCTAGCGGTCGTATGGTCGATACAAAAGTTTCGACCTTATCTCCACGGCCGTCACTTTACTGTGGTTACGGAACGTCACGCCTTGTGCTGGCTCTCGACAATCAAGAACTTGTCCGGCCGCCTTGGTCGCTGGATTGTTCGCTTACAAAAATACGACTTCACGATCACATACAAGTCGGGAAACAAGCATCAAGACGCCGACGCACTTTCGCGTTGCCCGCTCTCTTCGGAGCCGCTTAACAAACCCGCCACTGCCGCACTCGAGAAGCTTTTGGCCATCTCTTCCCTACATGTTTCGTCATTAGCTACTCTGGACCCAAATTACCCAAGCGAGTGTGGTTGGTTCTTATGTCACCAACATGCTGACCCTTACTGTCGCTGCATCATGGACCGTCTTGACGGGACTTGTCAGCCCCCTAACGCCCCTCTTCGCCGACAGCTGACGCAATTCAAGCTCAACAACCACGTCCTGTACCGTCATATCTACAACCCTGATGGTCAACGCTGGGTGCCCGTTCTACCTCGCTCTCTTCGGGCTCATGTCCTCAAGACATATCACGACTTGTTTGCTGGACACATGGGCTTCCAGAAAACGTATGACCACATAAGATGTCACTACTACTGGCCGGGCTTGTCCACCTGTGTCGCAAAGTACGTTGCCTCATGCGCCCTTTGTCAGCGTCGCAAGCTACCTACGTCAACTCGAAGTGGACAATTACAACCGCTCCCGTGTCCCCTGCATCAATTCGAGGTAGTTTGCATTGACCTCTACGGTCCACTATGGTCCACTCTATGGTCCACTGTCACGGGCAATCGATGGATAGTTACAGCTGTCGACCACCTTAACCGCTACGCCGAAACAGCTCCCGTGCCTTCTGCATCAGCTTCGGAAGTTTAATGCGGAGAGGAACGCCGTATGAAAGGCTTCATGCGGGATACGTGGACTATTTCTGCTGCCCTGTAGCGGCGGTCCGTCGGAAGAAGAACGGGTGCCACGCGATAATTCCCAGGAGACGTTTGCTCCAAGAGAGTGTAGGGGCCAATAAAACGTAATTGAAACTTCTCGCACAGGCCGGGAGTGCGAATGGGTGTAAGAAGGAGGACTTCGTCGCCAGGGCTGAAGGACACGGTGCGATGAGAGGCATCATATTCAAGCTTGCGATCCTGTTGCTTGGCTTCTGTTTTGACGCGAGCCAGCTGGCGGCAACGAAGTAGACGAGACACGTATCCTTCACTTGAAGATGAACATGGTTTGACAGGCGCAGAGAAGAACGAAACATCGAGGAAAGAAGAGGGGAATCGACCGTGGACGAGGTAGAACGGGGAGTAACCGGTTGTGCGCTGTACAGAGGTATTATACGCAAAAGTGAGAAATGGCAAAATGGTGTCCCAGTTTCTGTGGTCGGGTTCGATATACATCGCTATCATATCTGACAGTGTACGATGAAAGCCCTCTGCAGGCCGTTCTTCTGAGGATGGTAACTGGAGCTTGTTTTGTGTGTAGTGCCGGATGCCTTGAGCACTTCTTCGACGAGTTCTGAAAGAAATACTCTTCCACGGTCGCTCAGGATTATACGAGGAGTTCTGTGTCGAAGCATTATTGCTCGAAGAATGAAGTCGGCCACTTCCGAAGCTGATGCAGACGGCACGGGAGCTGTTTCGGCGCAGCGGGTGAGGTGGTCGACAGCTGTAACTATGCGTCGATTGCCCGTCCCAGTCATAGGAAGCGGATCATACAGGTAAACTTCAACTACCTCGAATGGTTGCAGGGGACACGGGAGTGGTTGTAATTGTCCAATTCAAGTTGATGTAGGTAGCTTGCGACGCTGACAAAGGGCGCATGAGGCAACTTACTTCGCGACACAGGTTAACAAGCCCGGCCATCAGTAGTGACATCTTATGCGGACATACGTTTTCTGGAAGCCCTTGTGTCCAGCAGACATGTCGTCGTGATATGTCTTGAGGACTTGAGCCTAAAGAGAGCGAGGTAGAACGGGCACCCAGCGTTGACCATCAGGGTAGTATATATCACGGTACAGGACGTGTTGAGCTTGAATGGCGTCAGCTGTCGGCGAAGACAGGCATTAGGGGGCCGGCAAGTCCCGTCAAGATGGTCCATGATGCGGCGATAGTAAGGGTCAGCACTTTGGTGAGATAAGAACAAACCACACTCGCTTGAAGAAGTTGGGTTCACACTAGCTAATGACGAAACATGTAGTGCGGCAGTGGCGGGTTCGTTAAGTGGCTCCGAAGAGAGCGGGACCGCGAAAGTGCGTTGGCGCCTTGATGTTTGTTTCCCAACATGTATGTAATCGTGAAGTCGTATTCCTGTAAGCGAAGAATCCAGCGACCAAGGTGGCCGGACAAGTTCTTGATTGTCGAGAGCCAGCACAAGGCGTGATGGTCCGTAACCACAGTAAAGTGGCGGCCGTAGAGATAAGGTCGAAACTTTTGTATCGACCATACGACCACTAGGCACTCCTGTTCAGTGATGGTATATTGTTTTTCGGCAGGAGTCAGTGCACAGCTCGCATATGCGACGACTTTCTCACGTGAAGATTTTTCTCGCTGTAGGAGAATTCTACCAATGCCTCGACCACTAGCGTGTGTATGCAGGAGCGTAGGCGCGGTTTCGTCAAAATGGCAGAGGACTGGTTCGGATGTGAGTGCACACTTCAGTTGGGTAAACGCCGCTTCACATTCAGGAGACCACACAAAGGCGACACCTGATCCGAGCAACTTGTGCAATGGCGAAGCTATTGAGGCGAACCCTCAAATGAATCGGTGAAAATAATAAGCGAGGCCGAGGAAACTGCGCAAATCTTTGGCTTTTTCGGGACGCGGAAAGTGTTGAACAGGAGAAATCTTGTCTGGGTCGGGACGAATACCGTCCTTGCTTACAATGTGGCCTAACATTTTAATCGTCTTGCTCGCGAAACGGCACTTTTTGGTGTTCAGCTGAAGGCCTGCTTTGCAAGGCACGTAAGAACTTCGTCCTGCCGTTGCAAGTGCTGAAGGAAGGTTGACGAGAAAATAACGATATCGTCTAAATAGCACGAGCAAGTCTTCCATTTTAAGCCTCGTAAAACTGTGTCGATCACCAGCTCCAATGTTGCTGGAGCATAGCAAAGGCCGAGTGGCATGACGTTGAATTCGTACAGCCCATCTGGTGTTGAAAACGCTGTCTTTTCTTTGTCATCCTCGTGTATGGGTATTTGCCAGTAACCTGAACGCAGGTATAGGCTTGAGAAGTACTCGGCCCCTGGCAGTGAATCCAAAGCATCGTTCATGCCCGGCATTGGGTAAACGTCCTTGTGGGTACTCTTATTAAGTGCTCTGTAGTCGACGCAAAATTGCACGGAGCCGTATTTTTTCTTACGAAAACAACAGGGGATGACCAAAGACTCGCGGAGGGGCGTATAATGTTCTGTTGTAGCATATTGGCTCTCATTTTGTTCAATGAGCTCACGCTCGGACGAAGAGATGCGATATGGTCGACAGCGTACGATGGAAGTGCCATTGGTCTGGATACAATGCCTAATAATGACGTCTGTCCCAGAGATGAGGAATGAGCATCAAACAATCTGCTATGCTTTTGTAGCAAGGCAAGTAACTCGTCTGTCTGTGAAGATGTCAGTTCTGGACTAATAGTCACAGAAAGAACAGAAACGCTTTATGAACGTCCAATAGAAGGAAGGTCAGAACACGCTGGCATAAACGGGACAACAGAAACAGGTTGGAATTTAGTAATGAAAGCCATTGTGGAGCCTTTAGCAATCAGAATTTTTTCAATACATACATACATACATACATACATACATACATACATACATACATACATGCATACATACACGCATGCATACATACATACATGCATGCGTGCAGACATACATACATACATGCGTGCATACATACATGCATGCATGCATGCATGCATGCATACATACATACATGCATGCATGCACATATACATACATACGTACATACATACATACATACATGCATACATACATACATGCATACATACATACATGCATGCATGCATACATACATACATACATACATACATACATACATACATACATACATACATAACATACATAACATACATACATACATACATACATACATACATACATACATACATACAGTAAGTGGTAACCATACAGTGATCTTGTGTAATGTTCATTTGTGTCTCTTCTCGATGTAACAATTCTTACAAGCATAAATTTTGTAAAAGCTGTGTTTAACGACATTTTTTCAAACACCTTTAAAGCTTTGGATACATTACACAATATATATTAGGATGCGTACTTTTTATTTCAAAAGTGTGCATCAAAATGAACATGTTATCCCGAATCTTATGGCGTATCTTTAAGTTTCCCGAGTAAACTAGTGAAATACCCCATTGCCGACATGGGCATGTAATGTTGTTTGCCACAAAGTCGTCTGAATGCAGGATTTTTTCGGCATTGCGTCATCCTTTCCTTAAAAGCAATCTGAGGCACGTGAGGTAACTTTATTGTTTTTACAGAATAACACATCAATAAACAGCTAATAAACACAGATAAAAAATATGAATCTGCTAACAAAAGGATACATAGGGGTTCTGAAGGTAACTTACGGCTGCATCTTTTCATGCAGGCATGGCAAGTCGGGAAAGCATTACGACCTTTGGCACATTTGCCTTTTCGTAATCGATGGCAAGTGCCTTTCTCAGGTTTAAAGTACCAAGGCCGACTTGAAAACACACATGGTCGCGTTTCCAGCGGTGCACTGCATACTATCTTTGGCCGTGCTGAGGCTGTAATCGAAAGAAAAAATTTGATTAGTTTGCAAAGAACGAAACTAATGATTTAACACAGCTTTCAAAAAGCTTGAGTAGTCTCCTGATGCATTCTAAAAGCGTTGATAATTTTGTTGTCTGACAAATTCAAATTGTGTATTCTTCTTCTCCACAAAGGTGCATGGGGTGTTTTTAGTGACTAGACATTGTGTGCTTGCAGAGAATAACCATTACATCTCAGGATGAAAACACATTGAAGTGTTTGAGAAGAGTTTTGTGTTAACTGTCTCATGTAGAAAAAAAAGGTAATAGTATAGCCCGGCTATGCCAGGATATACGTTGCATGAACTACGGACGAATGAACGAATAGACTAGCGAGTGAGTTCTCGCGATTAAAGTGCCAGCCCACAAGTGATGGGTCCCTCCAGGAGCTTTTAAGCTTTTTCTTACGCGCCAGCTGTACTCGGTGTGACTTCCCTGCTCCTCAGGCATGCGCAGCATGGCTCTCGATAAGCAACGCGAAATCGCTCAGCATCAGTCAGTGTAGCTTACTCTAGAGAAAAGTTTCAGACAAGTAATCTATTTTTCCCAGTGTAGATATTGCTGACGGTGGGCATGCCCACTTTTATGAAAACACTAGCTGTTTTATTTCCTAAACCTTACGCAAAAAAGTCTCGTACGGCCGTGAAGTTCCTTGCATACCATAATAAGAGGTGCGAATGAGCAATTTATGAGAATTTCCTTTTTGTTGTTACCCGTTCTGCCAGTGGATTGCGTAAGGCTACCGCCTAGAACGATATCACTATATATTATTCTTAATGCACCATAGATGCAACTTTGTAGGCCAACTTTGCGATGTCTTCAGTGAGAAAGCTTCGGGGATGCTAAACGCGAACGATTTCGTAGCGATGCAAAGCTCCTTAAGAAGTAATCTATCTATCTATCTATCTATCTATCTATCTATCTATCTATCTATCTATCTATCTATCTATCTATCTATCTATCTATCTATCTATCCATCCATCCATCCATCCATCCATCCATCCATCCATCCATCCATCCATCCATCCATCCATCCATCCATCTATCCATCCATCCATCCATCCATCCACCCATCCATCCATCCATCCATCCATCCATCCATCCATCCATCCATCCATCCATCCATCCATCTATCTATCTATCTATCTATCTATCTATCTATCTATCTATCTATCTATCTATCTATCCATCCATCCATCCATCCATCCATCCATCCATCCATCCATCCATCCATCCATCCATCCATCCATCCATCCATCCATCCATCCATCCATCCATCCATCCATCCATCCATCCATCTATCTATCTATCTATCTATCTATCTATCTATCTATCTATCTATCTATCTATCTATCTATCTATCTATCTATCTATCTATCTATCTATCTATCTATCTATCTATCTATCTATCTATCTATCTATCTATCTATCTATCTATCTATCTATCTATCCATCCATCCATCCATCCATCCATCCATCCATCCATCCATCCATCCATCCATCCATCCATCCATCCATCCATCCATCCATCCATCCATCCATCTATCTATCTATCTATCTATCTATCTATCTATCTATCTATCTATCTATCTATCTATCTATCTATCTATCCATCTATCCATCTATCCATCTATCTATCCATCCATCCATCCATCCATCCATCCATCCATCCATCCATCCATCCATCCATCCATCCATCCATCCATCCATCTCATCTATCTATCTATCTATCTATCTATCTATCTATCTATCTATCTATCTATCTATCTATCTATCTATCTATCTATCTATCTGTCTGTCTGTCTGTCTGTCTGTCTGTCTGTCTGTCTGTCTGTCTGTCTGTCTGTCTGTCTGTCTGTCTGTCTGTCTGTGCACCTGCATCTAGCTGCTCTCGTCATCAGTGTAGGCCGAAATTGAGGTTGGGGGGGGGAGGGGGGTAAGCTGTGACGAATATGACAGTTTGGTCAGGGCATCCATAACGTCAAAATATTGCCACGTACGTAGTCAAACCTTTTCCTCCAGACGAACGTAGCACGTACCCGTATGCCACGAGCTGCAGTGTACGCCACATATGACTGACCGTTCATATTTACCCAGAAACGTCCAAAACAGATATTTTCACTTGTCAGAGCGTTAAGAAAAACTGGCATCGGTATCATTACGACGATGAATCGAGAGAATGAAAATCAGGATCCTAACAGTAACCTAACTGAAAGGTTCTCAATGGTAGTTTTTATTTTTTTTTATTTAAAAATACCTTACGGGCTCTACATAGGGGCATAATGTGAGGGGAGCTATACAATAGTTATTTGAAAAGAACACAAAACAAACGAAAAGAATTCAAAAGCCACGTATTATACAATTGCTAAAATGTTCGATAACATACACTGTAGTAATATGGCACTAATATGCGTTATGCATTTTTAACGGTTCGAGATGTCAATGTACAATGAATGAACACGAATATAAAATACATGCTTAGTAAACACAGTCATATATTATTTTATTCCTAAACGCCACGAGATCACGAATCAATACCACATCATCAGGAAGGTTTTTCCATTGAACTATGTATGACACGTGCTAGCGCGGATGCGTTAGATGCTTGGGTGCGTCCGAAATGAAGAGCAAAACTATGCTGATAGTGAAGCCTGTGAGATGTGCGATTGGGCTTTGTTAGTGGCAATGTATTTACTTGCATGCTGCAGATGACTTTATGGAACAAACATAGAGTAGTTCTCTTCGTGTGCAATTCCAGGGATGGTATTGATAACGAAGCCTTCATGTTGATATGTGGGGTTTAACGTCCCAAAACCACAATATGATTATGAGAGACGCCGTAGTGGAGGACTACGGAAATTTCGACCACCTGGGGTTCTTTAACGTGCACCCAAATCTGAGCACACGGGCCTACTACGTTTCCACCTCCATCAGAAATGCAGCCGCCTCAGCCAAGATTCTAACCCGCGACCTGCGGGTCAGTAGCCGAGTACCTTAGCCACTAGACCACCGCGGCGGGGCGAAGCCTTCATGTCAATGATTTGATTGATATGTGGGATTTAACGTCCCAAAACCACCATATGATTATAAGAGACGCTGCAGTGGAGGGCTGTGAAAATTTAGACTACCTGGGGTTCTTAAACATGCACCGAAATATGAGCACATGGGCCTACAACATTTCCTCCTCCATCGAAAATGCAGCCGCCGCAGCCGGGATAGAAGCCTTCATGTTAGTCACACTGGAATAGCGACTGCAGTCATGCACAATGAAACGTGCAGTGGCCCCGCCGCGGTGGTCTAGTGGCTAAGGTACTCGGCTGCTGACTCGCAGGTCACGGGTTCGAATCCCGGCTGCGGCGGCTGCATTTTCGATGGAGGCGGAAATGATGTAGGCTCGTGTGCTCAGATTTAGGTGCACATTAAAGAACCCAAGCTGGTCTAAATTTCCGTAACCCTCAACTACGGCGTCTGTCATAATCATATGGTGTTTTTGGGACGTTAAACCCCACAAATCAATCAATCAACGTGCAGCGTGGTTTTGCACAGATTCTAGTGAGTAGATTAGATAGGCTTGGTGAAGTGACCAGATGAATGATGCGTATTCGAGTTGTCGACGAACAACTGTTTGATATGGTAGTTTACGTGTTATGGATGGCGCCATATGAAGATTACGTTTCAGGTATCCGAGTGTGCGCGATGCTGTGGCAGTAAATTTTTCAATGTGCGTAGACCAGGATAGATTCGAAGTGAAGTTAATGCCGAGGCACTTAAAGTGGTCTGTTGCCAATATAGGTTTATTGTTGAGAGATTATGTGTAAATTGAGTTTGACTGCTTTTAGCTGAATGTCGTTAGTTTACATTTCGCAGTGTTAACCATCATCTGCCACTTTGAGCACCAGAATGTGAGTACGTCGAGATCATGTTGTAATGCCAGATGGTCTGTCGTACTAATACTTTTGCAGTATACGCAATCGTCGGCGACCAGACGGATGTTTGATGAGATGGAATGTCATTAATGTAGATGAGAAATAATAAAGGACCCAGGACGCTGCCCTGAGGAACTCCAGAAGTAACGTCTGATAATGAAGGTGAGGTGTTACTGACCCATGTAAACTGCTTGCGTGATGTTAGAAAGCTCTGGAGCCAAGATATGGTTAGAGATTCAAGTTATATAGATATTCAGATATTCACAGAGGGTCTTCAAGCTGCTTTGAAAAAAAAAAACCCCTATGCAGTCGCAATGTCGGGATAACGTCAGTTTCAGTTCAAGTGTTGGCCCTGCTTCGATAATAATTTAATAAAAGTTACACTTGCAATTCGATGAATCAGCAAGGCATATTCAACCGTTGCTCAATCAGGGAAGAATACGTTAGTGATTTTTATTCTCGTCATCACGCTGTAGCATGCACCTGGTTTTCATAATGCTGATGTCAATGCTCTAACGTGTGCGCAAACTTTCCGTGAGATCATGAGTTGGCCGTTAAACGCCAGTTTAATTGACGTCACGAAGTTCAAGCTGCACTCACAAAAGTACGTCGATCCAGATCGTAACATTTGGCTCCAATAAAAAAAAAATCCAGCGTGGAGTATTATTAATCATTATGAGCTTCAAGTGACACTGATTTCCACAAGGTGTAGTCTTTCTTGGGATATGTCTGCAGAAATTTCGATCTGAACGACGACGACGAAGTTTTTTCCGCCCAACGCTGCTTATTTCGTTTGGGTTTTTCTTTGTGAATTACGCATTATCCGAAGATCATCGCTCTCCTGCGAGCAGCGATGGATCCAGACCCCAACTTACGCAATCCGGACTTGGCGTCACCTTTGACGTCAACCTCAAGGAAGCACAACAGCCCAAAGGACGACAGCACCAGTAATAGCACTGAACTGTACACGGCGGGTAGTGAAGACAGTGACGACGATTTCATCCCTGCAGTGAAGCGTAAAGCTAAAAGGAGAATGGTCGGCGCGTCTTC